ATAATGAGTTCAAGGCCAGCCTGAACTATGTAGCAGGACTCTGTCTCAAAAAAAAAATTTTTTTTCTTTTGTCATATATACACTAGCAGATCTATATAGATTATAAATTCTACAGGTGACTTCACAATTGTGGTATGAATTTAAACATGATTATAAAAGTCAATTACTAAATCATAATTTCCAGAATATCTGTAGATCTTTGCAGATAGAGACCACTTTAACAAAGTGAAGCAAACATTTATGGTCTTAAAAAGGGAGAAATTCATGGGGTCTTGTTTGTTTGTTTGTTTGTTTTGTTTGTTTTTCTTTTTAAGATAGGGTCTCACTATGTAGTGTGAGACCCTGGCCTTGAACTGGCTTACATAGCCCATGCTGGTCTCAGCCTCCCAAGTGCTGGGATTATAGGTTTGCGACACCACATCTGGTTTGAAATTAACTAATGCTGTGAGCAATCATTTTTTCTTTCTAAAGACTTGCTCTCTACCAGTTAGATTTAAGAAAAGACTGACTGGAAGTATTTTTTATCAGCCTAATAATCTACAAAAGAAATGCCTCTATCATACTCAAAAGGAAGGAGGCAGAATTGTTATTCTGTAAACAGAAAATAGAATTGAGTAAATACAGAAGATTTTTTCTTAAGTCGTGGAGGATAATGTTTATAGTGTAATAAATATAATCAGAAATTTAGGTAATCTTAAGTACATTCTTTCCTCTTTGGGGACACAATTTAAATTAGGTAGTATATTTCAGTGGAACTCTCCATCTCCAGTTTTAAAAGTAGTAGAGAAACACATTTTTAGGAAGTTTTACAAGTTTGTTATTTTTATATAGAATTTGTATAAGTTTGGCATGATTGTCTGGCATAGAATTTGCCTGGCCATAACAGATAAATAGGAATTGGTTACAGTGGACCCTCGAAGTTATGACTGGCCTGACATATGAACAACTTGGGTTGTGACTGGCGTTTTAGTTTTAACTTATGAACAAAGTCTTGAGTTATGACCTGAATGCCAGACACTTGTGCTTCCAGATGGTCTCAGATACACATTTAACCCTTAAAGAATTCTGGAACATTACAGCATCCTTTCCTGTATGGGGTTAATTGAGAGATCCTGGGCCAGTGTCTCTCTAGGGACACTGAAATCTGTGTGTATCCAGGAGAGAGACGTTGAAGGCTCTGTAGAGGAACCCCAGCCTTCAGTTGACAACTTGAGTTACAGCCAGCCCTTGGGAATGAATTGAGTTTGTAAGTCAAGGGCCCACTGTACATATAGAATAGCATTTATGGTGGTTTTTGTTGTTTGGGGTTTTGGTTTTATTTTTAATTAGTATTAAATACTAAGCATATGTATATTGTTGGAATTTGTCATCTATAATTGCATTAAAGGCTGCAGTTATTGCTTAGTGTAGGAATTAGGTTCTGCTACTGTGTGTGTGTGTGTGTATGTGTAAGTGTAACAGGCATCAAACAAAACAAAACAAAACAAAACAAACCTGTTCAAATGAGTTGTGCTTAAGAACTTTCTGCCTGGCTTTTGATTTATAGTGTGTAAGTTAGACTAGAAGCCTATTGAAGATTCCTGTTAAATCTGTGCTATTAAAAAGCCTGATAGCCAAGAGTGGTGGCTCAAACCTGTAATGCCAGCGCTTGAGAAGCTGAGGCAGGAGGATTGCCGAGAGTTTAAGGCTGGCCTGGGCTATGTAGGGTGACCCTGTCTAAAAAAACAAAAAAAAACAACCAATAAAAGGCTGAGGTGTAGCTCAGTATTGGCCTTGTGTTCAATCCCAGGTACCGCCAAAAAATGTGATAGTAGTTTGGTGGACTCATTAATCTTCCCATTTTACTGAAGGAGTGTGTTTTTAATGGTTGTTGAATACAGAGGCAAGGTTGTTGAGGAATTTATAAAATTTGACCAGACAGTTTTAAGAACAGGTTAGTATTCTAGTGATAACAAGGCAGAGACCACTTCTTTCCCTTTAATTTTTTTTTTTTCTGCTCTCAATTTGGTTATATAGTTTCTGAATGTCTTCTTTAAAGAGTTAAATTAACTAGACATGGTAGCATGCATATTCCTGTTCGGGAAGCTGAGACAGGAATATCACTTGAGCCCATAAATTCAGGATCAGCCTGGTGACAGTGAGATCTAGTCTCAAAAACTGAATAGTTGAAATTTTTTCATCATGCAGACAGGTCAGCTGGGCGTGGTGGTGCACACCTGTAATCCCAGCACTGGGGAGGCTGAGGCAGGAGGATTGGTGTGAGTTCCAGACTAGCTTGGGCTATAAAGTGAGCTCAAGACCAGCCTAAACTGCATAGCAAGACTCTTGTCTCAAAAAAGACCGAAAAAAAAAAAAAGACGACGGGTCAGCAGTGGAAAAGTATTGTCTAGCATGTCTTTCATAAAAGACTTGTTGTAACCTGGTTTCTAATGCAGAATTTAGTGAAAATGTCATTTATTTGGTAGCCATGTTTGAAAAATAAGTTACTTTAAAATGGTAAATATGACCGCCTTTTGTGCAGAGCTCTTACAGGGATGTGCCATATTTTGGTATTATAGTAAAATATTCTTGAAGAATTACATGGTAGCTTATTATTTTAATTTTACTGACAGGTGTAGGATATAGAAATTAAAGAAAGCTAAGTAGGCTTCCTTAACCTTGAGTGATTCCAGAAAGAAATTCATATAGCTTCAGATCTGGTGATAGAAGGACAGACAACAAAGAAGATTAGGTATTTGTGACACCTTGGATAATAAAAGGCAAACCTTTTTAAATTTGTGGATGTCATTTTAAAAGACATCCAGAGCCAGCCCATGGTGACACACCTGTAATCCCAGTACTCTGAGGCAAGAAGAATACCAAGTTCAGGCACAGCCTGGGCAATTTAGTGAGACTCTGCCTCAGTGTCAAAAATTTAAAAAAAAAAGAAATGCTGGGGATGTAGCCCAGTGCAAAGTCCTGGGCCCGATCCCCAGTACTGGAGAGAGATAAACATTTAATAGTAAGTTTTCCATTGTAGGAGGCTGGGGCAAGGAGCATTGCAAATTCCAGCCTTGTGTTTAGCAAGGTGGGGGAAAATCTTTAGCAAGATGAGGGGAAAAGTAAATTTTAGACTTTTAACATTATTTTTATTTCCTAAAATTAAATGTTTCACAGCAAAGCTTTCTGGTGTGTGTGTGTGTGTGTGTATATATATATATATGTATCTGTGTTACGAAGGCTGTGGTAATATTCATAGATACTGTTCCAAAAACTACCGTTCAACAGTAGCATAAATGAATGCTACACCAGTCTTTTTTTTTCTTTTTAAGTACTGAAAATGCTGCTCCAGGTATCTGTCCAAGAATTTGACAAATATCTAAGATATAGTGAGATACAGGAGTAGCTAAATGGTAAAGAGTGGTACTGAACAGAAAGGCAACTATTTTGTTTTCATCTTAAAAAATGCAAAGGCCTACCAGCATTATTACAGTTCTTAATCTTTTGAATTTAAAACTTGAAGAAATTTTTTAAAGTTGTGTAATAGTCTCATGACATAAGTGAAAATTTGTGTGAAAGGCTTTAATGGAGAAATTGTCCATTCTGTTTTGGTCGTAAGTTTATCATATCTGTCAAGGAAGCCTTTAATCAGTTACAAATAATACTCTTAAAGTTTTGATTTATACCCAACTTTTTCAGAAATCAATTTTGCTATAGGAAATACAATCACTAAAGAAGTGGGATGTATGTGTGTATGTAATGTATTAATATTACAAGTCAGAGGGAAATGTTCTTTAAAAATCTGTGCTTCCTCTTTCCCCATAGTTTTTCAAGATGCTTGTCTACAGAAGATAACTTTCTGGTTAAGTCTGCTTGAGCAAAGAAAAGTGGTCAGATAAAATATTGGGAGAGATTGTTAATTTTGCTAATCTAAGTTTGATCTTGGGCATGTGTGCTATATGTGAGTTTAGATAGTTGTGTACAACTGTTTTGGCTGGGGTGCTTTGCTTTAATTATATCTTGGTTTCTTAGCATGACTTAGTGAAAGCTCAAAACTTATTCTGAGATCAGTAAGAATTTTTAGGTCATACAGTAGTGAAAATGTAACACTTAGTTGGGGGTTTGCAGTTCATATTAGATTTATGTTTGAATTAAATATATTGTTTACATTTTAGGAACAAGAATGAAACATGAAAGGGGAGGAGGGTAAAGAGTATGGGGAAAAATTAGAAAAATCAATAAATTCTCTTTTGTTAGAAACTACACTATTGAGCAATTTTAAAAACTATTAAATTGTTTTAAAAAAAAAATAAACTAGTGATTTGCACTTTACCTGCTGGTTTTTCCATTTGGTAGATAACATTCTGAACTCCAGCAGAGTTTTATAATCCCCACGTGCTTAAATATACTAAATGTTCTTTTTCCATTAAGGTTAATGTTCGTGAAGAAATTGAAGAGTTTTTTCCAAGAATGTGGAAGATAAATCAAGATAAAAGAAGGCTAATGAAAAGTATTAAAGATCAGAAAATTAAAATTGAATGGGGGAAAAAATTGAACAGAAGATTGGTCAGATAGAAGCACTTGAATATTTTTTTTAAGGCTATTTTGAATTGTTTGAATTGGGGAAGAATACACGAAGTATGAAAAATGAAAAAATGAAGAATGAAGAGAAGTAGAAAGCAAGAGTGAAGTAGAATTAAAAGAATCTGGAAGAATGAATGGGTCCTAGGTTAAGTAAATGTATGGTTTATGTTCCAGTGTCTGTATGATCAAGTTGTAGATGAATTTGCATGATTACTTAGTTAATAGAGAATTGGTGATCTGGTTCAAGTAGGGAATTATTGAGGACAGTTAGCAGTATTAACAATGGGCTATTAATGAGCTGAAATTTTTTTCTGGAGGGTGTTGCCTAACCATTTGTTTTTCAGGAGCAATCAATATAAATAATTACGGTACTTTAAATGTTAGGTGTTAGGCATCTACGTGACCAGTGCCATTTGTAATACTGTCTTCTTTGTTAGGAGTCTCGCTCTCAGTCAAAATCTCCAACTGGAACTCCTGCTCGTGTAAAATCGGAGAGCAGGTCAGGATCTCGTAGTCCATCAAGGGTTTCCAAACACTCTGAATCCCATTCTCGATCAAGATCCAAATCCCGGTAAGTGTCCTTAAGGTAATACTTAAAATGATTTTATATGTTGTTTTTCCAGCAAATGGGTTTTGTCACATCCCTATTTGGCTGTATTTTGTGTAGAAATTCAAGACGTTCTCGGGTTGCAGAACTTAGTAGTGAATAATATATTCTAGATAAATGCTTTGATAAAAATCATCTTTAAGTACAATTAATCTATTGGATACTACCACAGCTTTTAAGATTTACATTCCATACATCCTTTATCAGAATGTTTTAACTCTTACATTTGAGTTAGAACTCTGGTCAGGTGTAAAATGGAGAGAAGAAAAAGCCCCAGATGATGACAACAACAAAAACTTCAGTGATGCGCTGCATGATTCACCGTATCAAATAGCGTGGGTATTCTTGGGTGCAACAAAAATTTTTAAAAACCCGGATAGCACTAAGTATAGCAAACACCTATAAGCACTTTAGGAGACAAAGGCAAGAAGATGACAAGTTGTAGCACAGCCTAGGCAACTTAATGAGACCCTTTCTCAAAATTTAAATAAATAGGCTGGACCTAGCAGCCCACACCTGTAATCCCAGCACTCAGGAGGCTGAGGCAGGAGGATCGTTGTGAGTTCGAGACTTGCCTAGGCTACAAAGTGAGTTCAAGGTCAGCCTGAACTGCATAGTGAGGCCCTGTCTCAGAAAGACAGAAAAAAAAAAACAAAAGAAAAACCTGGAAATGAAATGTCTTTGAATAGAATCTGCTTGCAAAGGAGCAGAAGAATCAGTTAAAAGGCTGTATTTCTCTTGAGGTTCACAGTGATAGTGTTTTCTTTACTAAGCCCAAGATCCAGTCCATGCTATACTTACTGACCATTCACATATTTCATTAAGTCCACATGTGGAGAAATAATGCTGGGTAGAATCTGGGTACAGAAATAGGAAATGAGCGTGTTTTTACTTTGTATTGTGCACATGCTCGTTACTCTCTTCCTCTTAATTTTTTCCCATATTTGTCACTGATTTGAGGAAAAGGTAATTCTGGAAGTATTTTTAATGTCTCGCTTTCATTCCTATTTAAAAGTAACAACATTTTAAATAGCAGGTTGGGCTATAAATTAGTGCTACTGAGGAAAATGGGGAATACCCTGCTTGGTGTATTGCTCAAACCCAAGTTTTCTTCATACATACCTCCAGTCATTACCCCCAAATAATTACTTTTAGATAGTAGACCACTTATTATTTTCTTTCCCAGAAGGTGTCTCAGAAACCTTCACCTTTTCAAAAATTTGCACAGTTGTTAATCCCAGATGCTTGGGAATCTGAGGCAGAGGGACTGCAAATTGGAGACCAAGTCTGGGCGATTTACATGAGTTAGTCTCTGAATTGGCTGGGGGTGGGGGCATAGTTCAGCTCATTGGTAGAGCACTTATTTATCCTGTGCAAAGCCCTGGGTTCAATCACTAATACTTTCAAAACAAAAAGTACACAGTATTAATCTCAATAATTAATAATTAGTTTCTAACTGTCATTGAGTCCTTTATTGATCGATATTGCATGTCTCTGTTTTCATGAGAAATCACTTTGAAGATATCAATATGTAATACAACAAGCATTGTTAATTTCCCACCACTTTGTTTGTAACTCTGTATTGTCTATACTGTTCTTTTGCTATTTTGTAAAAGGTTGTCTGTCTGTTAATGTTTTCCTCCTTTTATTTTTAAAATAAAAAAACAATTAGTTTCTAAATATCCTAATTCCTTCTAGATTTCATGTCTTCATCATTTATTGTTGATTTTTTTTGGTAATGCCCTCATGCATGTTAGGCAAGTGCTCTGCCACTGAGCTATACCCCCACCCCCTTTTTTTTTGGTTACTGCTTTGAGATGGGATTTCTCTAAGTAGCCCGGGCTGTCCTGGAACTTGGTTGGGATCCTCTCACCATAGCCTCTCAAGTAGCTGAGATTACAGGAATATACCACCAATACCTGGCTCTCTCCCTGTCCTCTTGCCAAAGAACTTTTGTTCTTGCTATTCCTAGAGCAGTCCTCCCTGTCTACCTAGCAAATGCTGTTAAATCTCCCAGCTGTATTGCTTGTTGCCTTTTGTTTTATAATCTGCCTTCATTAGTTTTATTCTCTTCCATCTTGTGCTTTTATGCTCTTTTTAAGCTTTGTGGCCCTTAGAATTTATAACATTTATTGGCTGCTTCATAGAAGTTATTTTCTGTGACTAACGTCACTAGTCTCTGTGAGTTTAATTAAGAATGAATTATATGAATGGTAAAATTACAAAAATTTTTGGATTAATTGTAGAGACCAAAAAGTACCTGTTAAATAGATGGATATTTATGTTGATGAATTAACTTAGCAAATACTAGATTGCAACAAGCTAAAGAAAGATTGGAAAGGAACTAATAATTAGCAGTGAATCTATAGCCAATACTTCTATTCAAAGGAATACAGAACTATATGAAGAAGGTTGCAAGAATCTAAGAATTTTGGGGGCTGGGGATTTAGCTCAGCAGCACAGCACCTGCCCAGCAGGCGTAAGGTCGTGAGTTCGGTTCCCAGAACCGGGAAAAAAAAACCAAAAACCAAAAAAAAAAGAATCTAAGAATTTTATTGTGGCAATGGTAATGTTTTGCTTTTCTTTTTTAAAGAAAGTGGAGCTTTAACATGTTTATAAAGTGGAAGGAGGGAATGTTAAAGGGATAGACTGAGAACAGGAAGGATGGTTGTAGTGAATACAGAGAATAAGACAAAGAATACCTTTTTTGTTCTTTTTTTTTTGAGGGAGGGTCTCCCTGTGCATTTCAGGCTGGCCTTCAGCTCACTTTGTGTAGCCCAGGTGGGTCTCGAACTCCCAACTATCCTCCTGCCTCAGCCTCTCAGTGCTGGGATTATAGGGGTGCACCACCACGCCCAGCGAGACTGCTTTTTTCTTAGAAAAGAAAAAGGACAGAGTAGGAATATTCTCCATGGTAAAGTGTTTTTTTGATCTCCGTTATATAAAAAAGGACAGAGGAGCTGTGAATAGGCAGGAATATATGTATATATCCTTGGAATAAGGAAGGCTGCTAGGTGTTGCAGGTTTTGTTACCTAAATTTATTTCTCTCAAAGGTCGAGGTCAAGGAGGCATTCTCATAGACGTTACACTCGATCCAGATCCCATTCTCACTCACATAGAAGACGCTCTCGAAGTAGGTCCTATACCCCAGAATACCGGCGGCGACGGAGCCGAAGTCACTCACCAATGTCTAACCGCAGAAGACATACAGGAAGCAGGGTATGTGATATAGAAGTTATTTGTTTTTCTCTTTCCCGTGTAGTGATAACATAATATATCGCTTCTATGAGAAGCTATTGTTTTTGTCTTTTTCTTCCTGTTTTGTTTTTTGTTTTGAGACAGGATCTCATTGTCTCAAAACAAAACTCAATCTGTATAACTCAGGCTGGCCTGGAACTCCTGGTGATCCTCTTGCCTCAGCCCCAAGTGCTGGGATTACGGGTGTGCGCCACCAGGCCCAGCTATGTTTTTCACTTTTGTTTGTTTTGAGATGGGGGTCTTACTGTGTTACCCAGGCTGGTCCAAACGTAGGCTCAAGCTGCCCCCTCCTGCTTCAACAGGACTACAGGTCCACATCACCAGCCCAGGTTAAGTCATTATTTCAGAAGTGATGCTTCAGAAATTCCTTAATTAACTGCCTTAGCTTTCAGAATTTTTTAAAAAAAGGAAAACCACTCATGCTACAGATAAGCTAATAAAGGAAATGTCACCATCTTAGGAAGTCTATATATATTTCATGACACCTGTTATTACCGAGGAGCTATATTTTTCTGGACTTGTGAGTCGGGAGGCTGAGGCAGAAGGATCGTTGCAAGTTTGAGGCCAGCCCAGGCTACACAAAGTGAGCTCAAGGTCAGCCTGAATTTCATAATGAGACCTTGTCTCAGAAAGAAAGAAAGAAATTGGGAGAGCTGTGTTCCAGGAATTAAAATGAAAAGCAGAAACTGAGGTGAGAGAACAATAATATGATACATTTCACCAAAATGGAAAGAAGGCAAGAAAATACCAAAATCCTGCCAGGTGTGTTGGGACATGCCTGTAATCCCAGCACCCTGGAAGACTGACAAAGGGAAGGATCACAGATTTGAGTCCTGCCTGGGCCACTTAGACTTTCTATAAAAACATTAAAAATGTCAGGGGAGGGGGCTGGGGATTTAGCTCAGCGGCAAAAGCGCCTGCCTGGCAAGCGCAAGGTCGTGAGTTCGGTTCCCGGTACCAGAGAAAAACCAACAACAACAAAAAAAAAAATGTCGGGGGATATAGGTCAGTGAATCCTCTGGGTTTGATCCCCAGTAATGCACAGAGAGACTACCAAAGTCTAAGTGGTAATTATAGCTAACATTTATGTTCAATATGTGATATTCCTACCATCTCTGAAGCAGGCTGTCATGTTACAGAATGAGCACACAGAGTGTGGGGATGTGTGATGTTAAAGTGTTTTTATTTTAATTTGCTAGCTGACAAAGTCCAGGTATTGATAGGCCGCCTGATTCTGTGCCCTTCTGCTGTGCCAATGTGCTTCTCCCACGTAAGACTGACATTTATTTAACTGTGATGTAGTACATCAGTATTTACTGATGGTTAGAAATCTGTATATTTAATTTTAAAATATGGATCAGGAGAACACTGAAAGAATATCCTTGCTAAAGAAGGAAAAATGGATGTATCTAAATCAGTGGTTCCAAGGAAGTCACATTTAATGTTAACTATCAGGGATACAAAGGATGAATTCATAGAATACATGCTGAGAATGGGAATGTTTTCATTCAGGCTCTGGCAAAACTACTCCAAAGAAAGTGAATTGTTGTATGAACTGTAAAATGATTTTTTATCTGCCTCAGTTTTTCTTAAAATCTTACCTCCAGCTAGGGTGATAGCAAGAAAGCTCAGAGAAGAGAATTGCAAGTTCAGGGCCAGCCTGGGCAACTTAACAAGACTATCTCAAAATTTAAAAAAGAAAAGTTGGGTGTAGTGGCACATGCCTAATAATCCCAGCACTGTGGGAGGCTGGCATGGGAGTTCAAGGCCAGCCTGGAAGAAAACAAGACCTTGTCTCAAAAAAAATTAAGAGTCTGAGGATGTGGCTCATTAGTGAAGCACTTATTTCCAAATGACTAGAAACAGTATATATTCTAAACAAAGCATTGTACTGTTGTATTTTGATTTGTTTTTTTTAAAACAAGGTCTCCCTATACAGTTCAGGCTGGCCTTGAACCTGCTCTTTATTTCCGGCTGGCCTTGAACTTGTGGCAATCTTCCTACTCAGCCTCCTGAATGCTGGGATTACAGGAGTGCACTACCTTGCATGGCTATTTTGGTTTTTTAATTAAACTTGTACTAACATCTTTATTCAATAGGCGAATCCAGATCCCAATACTTGTCTTGGAGTGTTTGGCCTCAGTTTGTACACAACAGAGAGAGATCTTCGTGAAGTATTTTCTCGATATGGACCCTTGAGTGGTGTCAATGTGGTTTATGATCAGCGAACTGGGCGATCTCGAGGATTTGCTTTTGTGTATTTTGAGAGAATAGATGACTCAAAAGAGGTAAATTTGTTTTTATAATTTTCATGTTGAAACTGTTTGATATGCATGATAATGGTATTGCATTACTACTAAAAGTTAACTGTTTTCAGGCTGGGGCTATACCTGAGTGGTAGAGGACTTAGCTAGCCTGAGGCCCTTGGGTTAGTGTGCTTGACTGGAGGAAAAAAAAAAAAAAAAGACTTAATTCCTGTTTCTATAAGTATTATTTTCTCTCTATCTCTGATTTAAAGTCAGCCTCATTCCGTTAGAATGTCCACAGTTTGAGTTTCCATCTTGAGCTTTCTGGTATAGGTATATCCTGAATGGAATCTGACCTTGTTGTAAGTGAGCTGTGTTTGAGTTAATGGAAAAAGTAAAGTGTGTGTTTTCTTAAAACTATTTTGATGCTTGGAACTTGATAATTTTGTGTCTATAATTAGCTCCCCAAGTACAGAACCTTGTTTTTCTATTCTTCATTTGTCACTGTGTTCTGTAGTTGAAAATAAAACATTGACACTTGTAACATAAACAATCAAAACAAAAATTGGTTTAATTCCAACTCTGAACTCGGTAATCCTAGCACTCAGGAGGCTGATGTAAGAGGATCACTGAGTTCAAGGCCAGCCTGAACTACATAGCAAGACCCTGTCTCAAAAAAAACTTGGGAAATATAAATGGTATTGGTATTAGTGGGTAGAAGCCAGAGATTTCACTAAACATTCTACAACACTGCAGTGTGCTGGGTATGGACACACATACCTATAGTCCCAGCTACTCTGGAAGCTGAGGCACAAGGCCCATTTGGACCTAGGAGTTTCGTGCCAGTCAGGCAACAGTGAGACCCTTATCTAAAAAGGAGGTGGAGAGAATCCTGTAGTGTATACAGAATGACTTTTCACAGCATATAGTCAGCAGGTTGACAGAAACCCTGAATAAATCCAACAAAGTAATACTTTTGACTGTAAGTCATGTAACAATCTAATGTCTTAATTCCTTAATATCATAAATTCTTTTCGTTATATATGCATGATATATTTGTTCCTATCCTCAATTAAAGGGTAAAAGTATAATTTAGAAATACTAGAGCATGCCAGCTGGCGGGGGGTTGCATACCTGTAATCCCAGCACTTTTTTTTTTTTTTTTTTTTTTGGCTTTTTGAGGCAGGGTCTTGCTGTGCAGCTCAGGCTGGCCTTGAGCTCACTTTGTAGCCCAGGCTGGTCTCAAACTGACAACAAGATCCTCCTACCTCAGCCTCCCTAGTGCTGGGATTACAGACGTGCACCACCACGCCCACCTTAATCTCAGCACTTAGAAGGCTGAGGCAGGAGGATCTCTGAGTTCAGAGCATGCCTGGGCTACATAGTAAGACCCTGTCTCCAAAAAGAAGGAAAAAAATATAGTAGAGCCAACCATAGTAATCTCAGCACTCTGGGATGCTAAAATAGGAGGATCACAAGTGTGATCCCTGACTGGGTAACACAGTGACTTAGAGAGACCCTGTCTCAAAATTTAAATTTTTAAAAAAAGAGGGACTAGCTCTGTGAAGGCTTGGGTTCAGTTGTCTTCTTGCTTTATTTCTGGATAAAATAAGAATGGCTACATGGGTTCTAAAAACTTCTTGTGAATATTTCCATTTGCTAAAGTGGTTAAATTATCATTCTAAATTATCATTGTATTTATTGTGACTAATGCCTAAGGGCAAAGTGGGGACTATGAGCTAATGTATAAAGGCATTTTCTTTTCTACTTGGAGCTCACTAGGTGGCGATATAACAATTTAAGTAATGGCTAAACTATTTGTAGGCTCATCCACTGAGCTGCAGTTTTTAGTTTGAGTTACCCGGACTGAAATTCAGTACTACCAACCCCAGAATTACACAGTGTTACTGAGTTTTTTACTTCCTTTTCTGTAGCTGTGACTGTTCCCAGTCTTTTTGCCTAGACCTTCTGAAATGCTTTAACTGAAGTGTCTACATTGCAAAACTCAAGGCTATTGACATGCATAAAATGAAAATTGGTATGTGTAAACTCCTCACGCTAGTTTGAGGAAAAGGAGCTTAGAAACACTGAATTTTTATTTATTTGTTTTTATTATGGTTTTGGTTTTTTTGAGACAGGGTCTCACTGTGGAGTCCAGGATGTCCTTAAACTCAGTATGTAATCAGGCTACCCCCAGACTGGTGGCGGTCCTTTTGTCTCTGCCACCCAAGTGGTAAGACTACAACTGTGTGCCACCATACCCAGCAGAAACTCTGATTTGGAAGTTGAAAGTAGAAAATCTTTATCTTCTAGGAGTATTGCTTTTTTTTTTTTTTTTGGTGGGTACTGGGTATCGAACTTAGGATCTCATGCTTGCCAGGCAAGTGCTGCATGCTGAGCTATATCCCCAGCCCCCATCTTTTTTATTGTGAAATACGGACTCACTAAGCTGCCAGCTGGTGTCATCTCAAATCCTTTCTCAGCCTCCTTACTAGCCTAGATTACAGATCTGTACCTCTGTGACCAGCAGGAAGTATAGCCTTGAGTTGGTGGGATTTAATTAAATAGGAATTAGCTAGAGCCAGGTGTGGTACCCACCTGCAGTGCCAGCACTTTGGGAGGCTGAGGCAGGAGGATTACAATTTCAGACTCAGCCCCAACAATTTAGCAACTTAGACCCTGTCTCAAAATTTTAAAAAAGAAGAGCTGGGATGTAGCTCAATGTCAGGGCCAAGCATTCAGTCTTCAGTGCTAAAAAATGGAAGGTAGGGGGAAAAACAGGCATGGTAGCGTCACATATCAGTAATCACAACTACTCAGGAATGAGAGGTAGGAAAAATTACAGGCTCGATACCAACCCAGGGTGCTAGAGAGACACATATTCCCCTGTGTGCCCCCCCTCCCCCCGCACCCAAAAAGAGGCTTCTGTGTTGCCCAGTGCTTTGTGGGTTTAATTCATATATCTTTTTTTTGTGTGTCTTTTTGAGACAGGGTCTCGCTATGCAGTTCAGGCTGACTGTGAGCTCACTTTGTATACAGCCCAGGCTGGTCTCAAACTCTCAATGTTCCTCCTGCCTCAGCCTCCCCAGTGCTGGGATTACGGTTGTGCGCCACCAGGCCCAGCTAATTCATATATCTTTATTGCTTCATTCTGAGCAAGAGGCTGAAAAAGGTGTCTTAAATGTGTGCTTGTATCTCTTTGGTCATCATTTCTTCTTGGTGAGTTAATTATGTTCCAGCCATGCATGATGGCGTCTGTCTATAATCCCAGAACTCAGGAGGCTGAGGCAGGAGGATTGCCACGAGTTTGACGCCAGCCTGAAAGTGAAACCCTGTCTCAAAAAAAGAAAAAAATTAAGTTCTAGACATTATAGAGGTCTAGAAATGTCTGTGCAGTGCTCTCTGCAAGCATCATTTTCAAAATTAAGTTTATTTGGATTCCAAATACCTTGTGCTTAATTTTAAGTAATAATTACTGCAAGGCTGATGAAATAAAGTATGACTTTCTGTATTTGTTCTCCTTTATAGGCTATGGAAAGGGCAAATGGAATGGAGCTGGATGGCAGAAGAATTCGTGTGGATTATTCTATCACCAAGAGAGCACATACACCTACACCAGGCATCTACATGGGCAGACCAACTCAGTAAGGCTTCAGATTTCTTAGGGCTAGGAATGTAGCTCAGTGGTAGAGAGCTTGTCTACCCGTGTGCAAGGTCCTGGGTTCAATCCCCAGCACTACCTCCCACCCTCTACCCCCCACCCCCCAGTCAGATTTCCTGAGTTCAGCTGTGAGAGTCAGAAATCCAAAGAATGTCGGAGTTTTTAGTTGGGCCTAGTGGAACATAGCTGTAATTCCAGTACTCAGGAGGCCAAAACAGGAGAGTTTCTGTGTATTAGAGACCAACCTGGACTACATTAGCTAGTCCAAGACCAGCTTGAGCTACGTAGTAAGACCTTGTCTCAAAAAAAGTGTGAATTTTGGATTAATTAGAAGATACAATTTTTTTTTCCATGTAAATTAAAATAACTTGTTACAGTCTTTGAATCATTTATTTCTTTTTTAAAAATTTACGATGTATTTAAATAATACATTGGTTTTATTATACTGTATAAATACATTATTTTATGCATATATTTGAGTAGGAGCATAAATTAAAACTCACTTCAGGGCTGAGGATATAGCTCAGCAGCACAGTGCATGCCTGGCAAGCGCAAGGTCATAAGTCTGATTCCTGGTACCTGGCTGTTCTCTTGGTAGTGTACAAATAGAAAAATTACTGAATACTAGAAAATTATCATACATTTGAAAATTTATTCTCTTTTTTGTTCTTAAGTGTGTGGATACATAGGACAGATTTTTTGTTTTTGAAATGGTACAATTAAAACAATGGGTTTTTATAATTTTTGAATATACAGCCAAAAAACAGTATTCACAGTGGTGTTTCTTGGGGCTGGGGATTTAGCTCAGCGGCAAAGCGCCTGCCTGGCAAGCGCAAGGTCATGAGTTCGGTTCCCCGTACCAGAGAAAAACCAAAAAAAAAAAAAAGAAAATAGAGGTGTTTCTTGAGAGTAATGGAATTTCCATTTAATTTGAAACTTGAGGGAAAAATGCGGGTTTGGGCAACAAGCCCCTGTAGAAAACTAAAATATGTATAGTGTTCCTTATGGTTAGAAGTATGGAATACAGCAAGCAAAAGGGTTTTACATTCAGATCCACTGCCATAGGTTTAATCAGACCTTGTAACTGAGTGCTAACCCTCAGTGTAAGGCGAGTTAGTTTGAGCTTGCTTCAGCAGCACGTGTACTAAAATTGGAAAGAGGAGTTGGTTCTCTCTGATGTTTGGGTAGGTTACTTCTTTGGACAGGTATACTTTTCAGTTAGTCATAGGCATAATTTTAGCATTTGGTACTGTTTCCCAATACAGTGTTTTATTTCACCTCATTGAAAAAGTCCTGATGATTTGAGCAGTGTGTTAGTAAACAGTTCACTATAGAGTTTAGTTTAGAGTGCTTTGTGAAAGCATGTAATTAATAAAGAAGCCAAAACAATACCATGGCAGTCAGTAAAGCGAGATACTTGACATAAAAGGCGAATTGTATTAAATGTTCCTAGAAGCTAATCATTTTCACTGATGTATAATTTTTTACACTTTTTTGCAGTAGTGGTGGTGGTGGCGGTGGAGGAGGCGGCGGTGGAGGTGGTGGTGGTGGCAGACGCCGAGATTCTTACTATGATAGAGGATATGATCGTGGGTATGACAGATACGAAGACTATGATTACCGGTACAGGTAATGTTTCAACTTGAGATTTCCTTTTCTGACTGGATAATAGAAGCATTATATGACACTTTTATGTTTAATGTGTATAAATTAAAACCTGGGTGTTTGAGCCAGGTGTGGTGGCTGATTAGTAGCTGCTGGGAGGATCAGTGGAGCCCAAAAGTTGAAGGGTATCCTAAGCAACATAATGAGACTTCATCCTTTTTTAAAAAAACTTGATAGCCAGGCATGGCACATACCTGTAATCCCAGCACTTGGGAGGCTGAGGCAGGAGGATCATCACCATGAGTTTAAAACCAGCCTGGACTACATATATGAATTGTGTATGACACTTTTAAGAACAGAAGTTTATCTGCATTTGTTGTGTTAAATGCTTAGTATTCTAGTGCCATTGGGACACAGAACTTTTAATGGTTTTCTTGGGTACATTATTCTGAGTGATGAGGAATCTTTATTTTCATTTGCCTCACCGAAGTGGTGGTGTACTATGCTAAGTATCTTTCATTTTTTACAGAAGAAGATCACCTTCTCCTTACTATAGCCGATACAGATCACGATCAAGATCTCGTTCCTATAGCCCAAGTACGTGAGCTTTGCATCATTAAAATTAATTTCTAAATGACTTATTTTAAAATATTTGTTGTGTCTTATGTTAATAGTTGGAAAAACATTGGGCGAGTTAAGTCATAGTCATTTTAACTTTTTTGTTACTTTCTCTTTCAGGACGCTATTGATAACAGAATGGTTGCAGTTAAGGACTTTTTTTCCTAATTTTCTTTATTCTCTCTCTCTTTTTTTTTTTTTTTTTTTAATTATTATTTCCCCAAGCTTCTTAGCCTTCGTTCTCCTTAAAAAAAAGTTTTAGTATATACATTTTGTCAGTTATGTTGCTATTTTCCACCCCTATTATTACAATACACTTACAGATGTAATTGTCATTTGGATTAGTTAAACATCGAGTAAAAAACAATCCAGTGTTATGCTTTGTAAATGATTTTTCCCTGCCTTTAGGGAGGGTTAACTCCTAGCTAATCACATGAGGGAAACCTTTGTGTCACACATTGTATTAGACAATTATTAGAGATCTCCATTTGGGGCTGGGGATATAGCTCAGCGGTATAGCTCCTGCCTGGCAAGCACAAGGCCCTGAGTTCAATTCCTGATCCCCCCCGCCCCACCCCCACCCCCAGCCCCCAAAAGAAAATCTGCATTTATGACAGACTCATTTTTTGTTTTGTTTTGATTTTAACTTTGTTTTGGGGAAGATAGTAACATATGAAGTAGTTCAGTCATGTCAGGTTTGTCTGGGGTGGCATGGAACAGTCACATAGTTGAGTGTAGAAAGTTCAAAGCTTTAGAAGAAAATGCTTGGACATTTATTTCTTTTGAAGAATGTAATTTTTGAACCCTAAAAATTAAGTCACTTTTTAGAGATGAAAAACTTGTGGATGCCTTCAAAACATGTTGTATTTTAAATATATCTGTTAAACTTTACAAACTTAAAGTGTGATTTTTGTGTTAAAATTATTGAAGTTTTAAGTATTCCCTTAATCAGTGAAGGACAACCCTTATTTATTACATAGAGCAGTTGTATAATTTGCTGTTAATGGTATTGGCACATTGGTTAAGCAGGCTATTATAATAGAGTCCGTAGATGATACATGTGGGGGGGAAAGTCTCCTTTCAAATAAAAGTTAATTTCTTTGAAAATGGGATTGTGTCTTTATTTTAATACAAGAGGAAAATAATAACTACATTCATTTTAGGAGGAGAGAGGATCGCACTATGTAGTATGAGCCTTCTGCCTCAGCTTCCCGAGTACTGGGATTATAAGATTATGCCACCATGCCCCACCATAGCTACATTGAAAACTATCTCATACTTGTCCCCCACAGCTCTACAATACGTGCACAAAGTTTTTCCCATTCTAGGTTACTTAGTAATACTTCATTTTTCCCAGTGTTTTTATTAGACATAATGTGTATAATCTGTATCTCTTTGGTTTTTCTCCAGTACCAGGAACTGAACTCATGACCTTGCGCTTGCCAGGCAGGCGCTTATGCCACTGAGCTAAATCCCCAGCCCTGTATCTCTTTTTTGATCTTTAAAAATCTCTCACCTTTTTTGGTTTTATTTTTGTAAAGTTACAAAACCAGAGAATATTCAATACCAGCATTATGCTGAAGAAAAAACAAATGTGTGTGCCTGTGATCCCAGGACTAGAGAAGCAGTCGTTGAACCCAGGGAGCACTGAGCTACATTTCTATCTCTGTGTGTTGGTGGGGAGGAGTGGCTTTTGCACCCTAGGATCTGATCAGAACTTTTTTCCCCAAAGGCTCTTGCTCTGTTGTGTCTGTTGGGTTTGAACTTGCCATATAGCTGTAGGCTGTCCTTGGACTCTTGATCCTCCTGCCTCAGCCTCCCAAGTGGTGGGATTACAGGCATGTGCCACCATGCCAGTATGAGAAGGGAAACCATGCACACTATTGCCAGGAGTGCATAAATTAATACAGCCATTGTAGGAAATAGCATTGAGTCCTCAAAAAAGGGAAAAGTGAAAGTACCATATGCTGTAGCATCCAAAACAAGTGGCCTCAGTATGTTCAAGGGCTAACTACACTCCCATATTACACAGTGTAATCCTAGTTGGCCTTTTAAAAAAATGAAATACTATCTGGGTGCAGTGGAGAGCATAGAAGTCCCAGATACTTGGGAGGATGAAGCAAGACAACCATTTGAGGCCAGCAACAACATAGGTGCAGTCTCAGGAGAAAAAAAATACCAACACTGGGGGCGGCTGCGGCAGGAGGATCGTTGTGAGTTTAAGACCAGCCTGGGCTACAAAATGAGCTCAAGGCCAGCCTAAACTGCACAGTGAGATCCTGTCTCAAGAAGACCAAAATAAAAGAAAAAAAAAATGAACTGCATAGCAAGACCCTGTCTCAAAAGAGAAAAAAAAAGAGATGGGATCCTGTCCTTAACAGCATTAGATGAACTTGGAAAACATTATGGAAAGACAGCTGTCTCATTATCTCACTCTGGAATCTAAGTTGACCTTGCACAAGTTAGTATATATACAGTGACTACCAAGAGCTGGGGAAATTGGAGGAAAGGAATGAGGTCAGGGAGGTGCCAGGCAAAGGACACAAGTTTTCGTCTGGTTCTGTTTTCGGTACTGGGAATCAAACTCAGGACCTTGCACTTGCCAGGCAGGCGCTGTGCTACTGAGCTATATTCCTGGCCCTCAAACAAGTTTTAGAAGTGTAAGGAATCTGTTGTTGAACCTAGTACAGTGGTGCGTCCTTCAACCCCAGCATTTTAGGAGACTGACTGGCAGGAGGATCAAAAATTTGAATCGTATCCAGGCAGCTGAGCTAGACTGTCTGAAAATAGGGCTGGGGACGTAGCTCAGTACAGAGGCCCTAGGTTCTATCACCAGTATGCCACCCCCTAGAAAAATAAGGTCTGTTGTAAACCAAACTAGTAGTGCGCGTCTTACACAACTTGGAAGCTTTATTCATCTGCTGGGGACGAGGCAATGCAGGCTGCTGGCACCTCTTGCTTTAGTGTGCTATCCTGGGTTCTGCCAGTTCTCTCTTGATCCATTTTGGCTCGTCCTGCTGCTTCTCTGCCTCTCCCTGAGGCTTCAGGTAACCTCAGTGAGCAAAGGGAACTGCACAGGTGGCACCATCTTGTCCCTTGGTGCATGTCTAATCATAGCACTCAGGAGGCTGAAGGCAGGATCACAAGTTGGAGGACAACCTGCAATGAATATGTATGATGGAGTATACAACATGGTGACTACAGTTAGTGTAGTCTTAAAAAATAGAGTAAAGTTTTCTTACCACAAAAATAAGGGCCAGCTATGGTGCTGCATGCCTGTAATCCCAGCACTCTGGGAGACTAGAGGATCACAATTTTTTTTTATTTGTTTTTGGGTTTTTTTGGCTTTTTTTCCAGTACCGGGAATTGAACTCACGACTTTGTGCTTGCCAGGCAGGTGCTGTGCCACTGAGCTAAATCCCCAGCGCCTTAGAGGATCACAATTTTGAGCCAAGTCTGGATGACAGAGACACAGAAGGGCTGGGATTACAGCTTAGTGCCCACGTTTAGGTTCAAAAGTTCAATCCCCCCCCAAAAAAAGTTCAATCCCCAGGTCTGCAAAAGAACTTGTCAAAACTGGGTACACATATCTAGTTTGGTTTTTTTGGTTTTTTGTTTGTTTGTTTTTTCCCGGTACTGGGAATCTAACTCCCAACCTCGTGCTTGCCAGGCAGGCCCTGTGCCGCTGAGCTAAATCCCCAGCCCTGGGTACACGTATCTCTATTGCAGGAGTGCTCAATATAGAAAATTGGCATTTCTGAACCTCTGGTATTTTTCTTCCAACTCATGGAGTAGGGGTAAGTGGGATCTGAACCCATGGGGCACTGAACTAAAGAGTCTGCTCAAGTTACCCATAGCACCTCCCTCAGCATCTAGCTGGGTGACTGAGATCACAGGAATGCACCACTTATGCCTGCTTGTTCCTACGTAATCTTACTTGGGTTGTGGAGTCAAAAGAATTTGAAAGAACTAGTCTCAGGAAAAGTGCACATGGTGAGTGTGGTTGTATACACCTATAAACACAGCACTGGCTAGGCTGAGGCAGGAGGATCACCAGAAATTCTAGGCTGGCCTCTACTACAAAGCAAGACCCTGTCTTAAAAAAAAAAAAAAAAAAAGTACGTGTCTCTTTTTGGCCAGGCATGGTGACAATGCCTATAATCCCAGCATTTAAGAGCCTGAGGCAGAGGATCACCCTAAATTCACGCCAGTTGTCAGATACATAGCAAGATCAAGGTCCTGTCTGAGGACTGGGGATATAGCTCAGCAAGCTCCTGCCCGGCAAGTGCAAGGTCCTGAGTTCAATCCCTGGTATCAAAAAATCTGTCAAAAATTTTGTTTTTGATCTGAGGATGAAGGAGAAGGATGAAAATGCAGTATGTGTAATACCCATTCAGCATGATGAATGTATCACAGATATACCAATAAAAATTCTTTTGTATACAAGTAACATGAATTTAAAATTGCGTGTAAGAAAAAATTGTGTGTAAGATCTGTATACACTAATAGTGGTTACTTTGGAATATTAGTCTGGAGAGCAGTTGAGAAGAATTTGCAGAAAACCAGTAGAACAATTTTATGTACAAATTTAGAAGTGCTGTTCATACCGTTTTTAGGTTAAAGCTCCTGATTATATATATGTAAAATGCCCATAGAGTCCAGAAGAGTAATTTTCTTTCCTGGCTGGTTGGTAGTGATATTGCATAGCAACTTGAGAACTGTGAAGCACAAATATATATTGCTTTCTTGTGATAACAATTAAGAGTCCAGCATTCGTAATAGTTTGAAATATTGTTGATATCAAACTTGAGGGACTTTTGGGTGTTGCTTGGGATGAAATCCAAGACCTTATGCATGGTAGGCATGTACTCTATATCTGAGCTAAGCTCCAGCCCTACTTTCAGTCAATTTTACATAAATTTTCTTTTTCTCACTGAAGTAATTGGAAATTAAATGAATCAAATGGAGCCGGGTATGGTAGTGCAGGGCTACAGTCCTAGCACTCAGGAGGCTGAGGCAGGAGGATAGACACAAGTTCGAGGCCAGCCTGGAATTCACAGCGAGGCCCTATCAATGCAAAATAGTCAACAGAGAAAAGAATAAAGTTGTGTAGCTTCTAAAAATTAAACACAAATAATGGAATGAAAAAACTGCCAGTTTGTACTTCAAAAAAGTGTGTGAAAGAAGCCCAATGTGGTGGTGCACTCAGGAGGTTGGCACAGGTGAACAGCTGGAAGTTTGAGGCCAGCCTAGGCTACACACATACTGTAGTTGAAGGTCAGCTTGAACTACACAGACCCTGTCTCCAAAAAAAAGTCATTTTTCTTTCAAAGATATAGTTTTACTAAAGAAAATATTATATACTCTGATATGTGTACACCACAGTTATTTCAGAATGAATTTAAGGTAACTTTCTAAATGGTATCTGTGTTGGTTTGGGGTGGCTTATTTTTGCAAGGGGAACAACATAATACAGGACACATACTTTATATGATTATATATAA